GTAAATTCCTAGCATGATAGCTCTACCTGGAGTGTACGATACAAAATTTAAAATGCGTAGGTCATAGGCAAAGTAACCCCATTTGACACTGAAAAATATATAATTAGAATTGTGTAGATCATAGGTAAAGTAGCCTAATCCCATTTGACGGGACGTACTTTTTCTAATTCTGTGGCGACGGCGGATATTGTCACTTGGCCAAGACATTACCGGGTTCGTGAGCGAGTCGGGTCAACAGAGGACGCTCATATAATAGCTACAAACCTAAAAAAACTCTACAAGTGTCCTGTCTTGCGCAACTACGAACCAGGGGTTAAAGACCACGGTTATCTTTGTCTGCACAGTACTCTCGGATGACGCTCTAATTGACCTAATTATTATGAACTGACTGAAAGAGCATCAGAAAGTTCTGGTGCAGACAAGACACCAATTATCGCCAGCGACAAGACCGCCCGAGTGAGGGCAGGGCACTCTGGAGAAGGTCGCTTGTGTACTTCCCACTTAATTTTTAAAATAAAGATCTGCGCTCAGGAAAGAACAAAAATCTAATTTTCTAAGACAAAGTCTATATAGAGGGGGCTCTTGTGGCCTAGAGGTTAAGGTGTTGGCCTCTCATTCAACAAAAGTCCCGGGTTCGAATCTGGGTAGCGACCGAAACATTTTCTTCTCTAAAATTGTCTCCTTTCACCTCCTTTCCTGCTCTCTAACAATGTTCGGTCGTCTGCTTTCTTCTCCTCTTTCTGCCCCCTCCTCTGGGCTCCTGACTCTTTCTGCAGCCTTTCTACAGCTACTCCGCCTTGGCTCCTTATTACTGTTGTCTTTCAGTCACACCCATGATCTACTGGTAGGAAAGTAAGGAAAGATCTACACCTAGCCTTCTCGGACAAGGGAGAAAAATCTCGGAGGGCCCGTGTGCAAGTTGCGCACGTTAAAGATCCCTTGGTGGTTCTAAAATCGATTAGAGTAGGCTTCGGCCGCCACTCGGGCAAAATCCAAATTTCCTACCAACTGAAAAAGTTTAATGTGTCCCACGCGCACATATATGACCTTATGCAGTTGCGAGCGTCGAAAACACTTACCCCCAAAAAAACTAAATATCTTTTAAAGATATTATATATACACGACATGTTTTTTTTTTTTTAAGTATA